GTTCGGCCAAGAGTTTTCAAAAATGGCTACCGAGCGTTAAGGGCCCAAATCTTCAGAAATGTGGCCACCTCGGTTTCTGTCCATCCGCTCGGTACCTTGAAGAGTCCTGGTTTTCCCAGTCGCATCCGACACCCACCATTAGGTTCCTTTTAAGGGGTGTCTCATGACCACCCAAAAACGGAAGCACTCAAATCACGAGTCACTGCTGAGTCACATCTCTGGGCCCAGGAACCTACGGCTGTCTGGAGACACGCAGGTGGTACGGGCAGCTCCCACTGCCGTCAGTCGGGGGTGGGTGTGGGCATGAACCGTGTCTGCAAAGTCACGCCTGTTTGTGACGGGGCTGATTTGACTTCGCGCCACTTGGCCTACGTGCCAAATAGACTCTTCCCCTTCGCGTAATCTCTGCCAACCAATCAGATGTCAAGACGGGGGCTTGGAAAGACCCATTTCAGCTCACGTGAATGACATAAACCCTTCAGTTGCAACGGCTTCCGCTGCAGGTCAGGTGGGGAAGGGAGAGGGGACAAGAGAGTTGCTGGGGTCCTGGGCAAGGTGGGGGAGAGGCCCAGCTCTGTGCTTCTGAAAGGGTTGGGACCTCAGGTGGAAGGGCCGGGGCTGGGGCCTGCCTGGAGTGCCCCCTCCCAGCCCTTAGAGCTGCCCAGACCATGCCACCTGCTCCCACCAGCTGTCTCCTGAGCAGCCCTCAGAGCTGCCCAGAGCGCGCCGCTCTGCACTCCGGTGGAGATTTAAAGGGCCCAGAGCTGCCGTTCCTGCAGTAGCAGCGGTGGCATCTGGGAACCCCGGGCCCTTTGAATCACCAGGCTCTGGGGCCCTCCCCTCATCAGCAGGCCTGAGGGCAAGCGCACCGGGAGTTCTACCGTGTCGGTTACCAGACGGCTGCGCCCGAGGACGTTCTGCCAAGGCCTTCACCCTGCCTCGCGTGAAGCGAATCTTAAAAATGCGTTAAGGGCTCAGCGGGGGGCCGGAAGCGTCACTTCAAAAGCAGGGAGGTAAAAGGTTCACCGAGAGGGGCGGTGGATTTTCAGCGGTTACACGCTGACATTTTTAGCCACGTGGTTACACCCACAGCCCGGCTCCACGGTGGCACTTCGCCTTCTAGTGAGGGCAGCCCGCATGCCCGGGCCCAGGTGGCATCAGCACAGGAAAGCGGAGGGGAAGGGAATTCCCACCCTAACTCCATTGCTGCAGCCTTTTAGCACCGACGGAGAGAGGGGCGCGATCGCCGGGTCTTACCGTAACTGCAGCTGGCTCACTTCTGCTTGAGTTGCTGCCTGAAAGTTAGACAGAGGCTGCCTTAGAAACACCGCACAGGACAGTCACCCCCGCCC